TTTCTACCTACCAGTCCTCACCCTCCCTTGTCCATTTCCTTCCCTCATTTCTCCTCTTCCCCTTCCCCATTTTGTTTGTCTCATGTACAGAAAGGGGAAAAAAATTAAAATGGTAGCAGGAAGTAGATGAGTCCCTGTAAAGATACTACTCATTGACGGGACTGTGAAACTTGTATTTAGTTTCCTAGCTAACTAGTTCAAATTACTTTGGAGTCCACCAGACTTGGGTTGGAATCCTGGCTTATAAATGTAGGACTTATACATTGTAGGGGGAGAGGGAGTGATACAGTATCAATGAATATAAAGCAAAAAGTAAAAGTACAGTCTCTTCTGTACTTCAGAGATAATCACTGTTAATGATTTCCATGTATTCTTCCAAATGTCTGCTACGTGTATTTACATATATATAATATAGCATGTTAGCTACATTAATTTCAGATTTATAATATGTACACTTTCCTTTTATTACAGTCTTCAGTATGTCAGAAAGCATCTAAAGAGTATTCATTTAGTTAATTTTAATCTACTTGGTATTACTAAATTCTCATATCTCAATTTCTTCCTTTTTTCTTTTTCATTTTCTTCTTACTGCTTTCAGGACTGGTTCCCTCAGTTATCCTTTTTGGTCAGTTTTCATCAATCTTGACCTCTGTAATGGCTCAAAAGTTCATTTATAGGAGAAAAGAGAAAATAAATTAGATGAGAAAACAGATAATAAAGATGGAATAGACAGAAAATGAAGACATTTGATATTTTTACCCTGTGGCTTTTTATAGGAATATCCCCCGCCCCCCGCATCACCTGTGACCTTTTTTTAGTATTGGATTCTGCTATTTACAAGTGCCTTAGCCTTCAGAAAACTTTTTCACTTTTTCCCGCTGCTTCACTGCAGAGTTTGTTAGACTTTCTCCTCCATTTTAAACCTGGGGCTATTGAGTACTAAATGCTGGGTTGCACTAAACCTAGTTATGCCAAGTGTTGACATGCATTTCTGATTAAGTGTATTGCATAGACATTATTTTCCCTAAATTTAGGATTGCGGGACATGTTATCTCCGTGTCCATATTCTTGAGTCTCCTTGAAATAAATAAGGCATTTATTTAAAAACACTGTTCTTTAAAGGAAATTTAGTGCATTATTTTGTATATGAATACAAAATTCTGCTATTTTATAAAAATCATGAAAACACAGTAGTACCTGTTCCTTATTAGTTTTGGTTATTAATGAGAATCAAGGTAACTAAAAGGTATGAAGTGCATTGAAATGGTTACACATTTTTAAAATAAATTTTGATTGAATTAAGCCCAATTATTTTGAATTATCAATTTAGAGCAGAATTATTCCTATTGAATCTATGTTCTCATACTTTTTTAAGTATGATTTTAAGGAAGATGATTGTCTAATTGAATTCAGAATTTAAGAGGGCGAGGGACAACTAGTCACTACAAGGCAACTCTACCATTAGGACTAACCAGTTGCTTACCTAGTACTTCTTAATCTTGCTTTATAGAGACTAATGGCAGTTTTAGTTACTTATAAGTGAATTGTTTGGTCCATGTGGCTTGGTCTGTTAGAAGATTTT